CCATTTTAGCACTAGATCTAGTACTTTTTCGGATTAGTGCTACTAGCACTAACCACTCGCACTATGTCCATTTCGACACATTTACATACCTCGAATATGGGTTATTTGCAAGAAACTATCCCAGTATGTTTTAAGTTTCATTGAGATCCGTAGTGCAAATTATGAAATTATTGTGCATAGATTTCAATCATAAACTAATCAGGTATGTGGAGTGCCTACACAGAAAGTTTCATTGTAAAACATTAAGTGTTTCTTGAGAAATCAATGAAAAAAACAAATAAATGACATTTATTTGAATAAAGAACTATCACAGAGCACCTATGTATCAAGTTTTATTGAAATCTGTTCTTTAAATGTCAGAGGAACCACTAAAAAATTGTTAGTTATAATGCAAATTAGGTAATGAATATGCACAGATTTTTACCAAAACTAATAAAGTTTGCGCATTATCCCAGAGCATCTATGTATAAAGTGTCATTGGAATCCTATGATTGGTTCTTACGATATTTATTTATTTAGCCATATTATCTACTCATGCTATCATTTCTGGTTAATAGGTTTGGGCCCAATTACAGACTTGAAAATGAGGGGCCAGCACAACTGTAGCATAACCATGTACTGATAAGGATATGTCAGTTGTTACGCAAATAACGCTACTCTTTGTGCCAAGAATAACTGTGTTTTTTTTGTTCACTGGGAATAGAAACAGAAGACATGGCCGAAAGCTTTACGTTCCCTCCGAATAGATTTCATTCTCTCAAATATGAATGCAGCAAACCTGGCAAGTGTACAGAATGTACTCTTTTTCACACTGCTTAGCTTGCAACCAACCATGGTAGTGAAACAGACATACACGTAAACACACAAACACAGACAGGATGACTCCAATGAATCCTATGGCGTGCTTCCCACATGGGAGTCATACACTGCAGAAATGTTCAGTCAGATCTACATGGTGATGGTACATAAGTGTCAAAATACAATACTGATTTGTGTCCTGCCCAGTTGTCAATACGGCATACAAAACCTACCTTGGGTGAAAATCTCCATTCTCTTCCATCAGCACTTGTTGTGGCTCTAACTGTGTGAATATTACTAAGAATCTGATAAGATAATAAAATGTTATCTCCTCATATCACTTGTTGAGTATGAAGTTATCTTCTGATATCACTTGTTTGTACAAATGGGTTATACAAGAGATGCATTATCCATGAACCACTGGATAATGCAGAACAAGTCACATGATACTACAAGTCACATAATGCATACATTTGTATCGACATAGTGGTATCATTTGTGTCCATCGAATTGGTCTCAGTTTGATGTTACTGATATTGTTCTCGAAAACAGTTTATAGGAGTAAATCTCAGTAATTTCTTATTAAATTACATAGCATTACAACAGAAATAAAAAAATTAACATTGACAACAAAGGCAATTTTCAAGTTCTCTTTTCACTTGCATGTCTTGACAGCATGAAAATGAATTTTTGTTCACTCTCAGTCTGTCTGAAATTGTTAAACTTGATTTTATTCAACATCTGAACGATTGCACTCCTAATTGTAACTTGCTCTATACTTGTGGACTGAAGACTAAATGAACACTCACCTTATCACCATCAAACATACACATTCTGACATGCCTACTCAGTATATCAAGACCTGAAAGTTAAAAAACATTTTTATTTAATGCTCATGAATACTTATTTAGTCAGCATTAACAACTGTATTTAATATGAGAATAATTAATTGAATTACTACAATTATACATGTGCACAGAATTATTCAATAATAGGCTCCAATCAAAATTAAAGTTGTTGAAATTAAACATTTTTGGAAAACCTTAAAATACTTTTTTTTTTATTTAATGTGTGATTTTGAAAAAGACTAAACAAATATTGGTGAATAGTGAAATAGTGAACTGTGAAATAGTGGACAAAATATTTCTGTCCCTTCAATAAACCTTAATAGCGTAATAGAATTGACATTTTCAACCCTAATTGCGTTACTTTGCGTTATTTTAGTGATTTGCCAGGAATCCTAAAAAAATGTATTGCCTGCATGAACAAAGCCTTGAGAACATATTTGAATGCTACAACAGCTATAATTATGTCTGTCGTTATTTCAGTAATTAATTAATCACATTGTTGACATGGGTCAGGAAGACTCCCTAACTCACGGTTCGTAATAGCCGTAGTTTTGCAGTGTTTTGGGTCCGGGAAGGTATTTTGCTTCGTCTGTCAATTATATACACATCGTCGTCATGAAACTATGGCTATGTTCGTAAATAAGCAGCAAAAATAAAAAAAAAACAGTAACTCACCTACTCCAATTTTTGGCATATTACGAACAGCCCATAATGTAACCATTCTCTGTATTCTCACGTACCTTGCTCGTATCTAAAAAATGAACATATATGTACAATATAAACCCAAACAAAATATTCTATAAATACACCCATAAACGCCATGTTTAGTTCAATACACCCATAAACACCATGTTTAGTTCAATAAACCCATAAACCCCCATGTTTAGTTCAATACACCTATAAACCCCCATGTTTAGTTCAATAAACCCATAAACCCCCTTATTTAGTTCAATAAACCCATAAATCCCCATGTTTAGTTCAATAAACCCATAAACCCCCTTATTTAGTTCAATACATCCATAAATCCCCATGTTTAATTCAATACACCCATAAACTCTGATGTTTAGTTAAATACACCATAAACCCCCATGTTTGATTCAATACACCC